GAATCATTGAATTATGTGAACAATCAGTCACATAATTCAATACCCCTAAGATAAAAACGCAAAGCGATCAGAGAACTGTCTTTCCCTTGGTCCTCATAAAAAAAGGATATTTTATCATGCAACAAATAAAGTCCTCAAGGACATCTTTGCTGTTGATTTCTCAGAAAACTTTGGAAGACCATTCCTCATAACAAGCCTCACAGGCAAATGACAGTACACAAGTCAATAAATGCAAATGATGGAGAAGATGATAATCAAACCAAGGAAGGGGTCCAGGTACATAGCTCCCTGCAGGTCTATATTTATCAGAAACAGATTTTATTCTACCTGGACTAACCCAAAATCTAGAGGCTTCATGTATCCACCTATCTTTAAAATTAAAAATAAAACTTGATACATGCGTCCATTCTTCTTGGGACTATGTCTTTAGTTTCATAACATCCTCAAAGAGAAGCAAGGCTCAAGAAAAGTGAAGAACCATTGATCTAAAGAACTAGACTAGGTATCCTTCAGGTAACCTTCCATAAGCAGTTTCTACTCTGAACTTCTGAAAAGTGCTAAGCTTCAAGACTGCAGCCCCTTGTAAGCATCTGAAGTCCAGCTTCTCTGAAGAGAAGTATGGAACTCTGTGCTTAATCACTGACCAAGCTGTGTGTCAACTGTATGATGCAATGATATATGACTGTTAATACAGTAATGATGGAGCACATAACGATGGAGCATCGTTTTTCCAGATAGATTTCAGCCATGAACACTGACAAAGTTGCCTCAAAAGATTGGTGATATTTCTTCTACATAACATAAAAAAGTAAAATAAGCTAACAACAACAACAACAACAAAATCCACCTTTTGCCTGTAGATAAAAATTACAGATAAGCATATACACACACACAAAACTTCCCAGATAAACATTTTTTAATTTTAAAAATAACCTTTCCACATCAGTTGGTATAATCTGAGCTATTTTTTTTTACCTTTCTGTTGTTTTAATCTTTTTAAATCTTTTGTTATACAGAAAAACAATCATCATCATAGCTTTAGACAAACACACACACATACAGGTGCACACATACACGGAGTCAACGATCCACCCACAGTATCATGGTTAGAATGTCTCGGGTGCCTGGGTGGCTCAGCGGTTGAGCATCTGTCTTCCGCCCAGGGCGTGATCCTGGAGTCCCAGGATCAAGTCCCACATCAGGCTCCCTGCGTGGAGCCTACTTCTCCCTCTGTCTGTGTCTCTGCCTGTCTCCCTCTCTCCCTCTATCTGTGTCTCTCATGAATAAATAAATAAAATCTTTAAAATATAATAAATAAATAAATAAATAAATAAATAAATAAATAAATAAATAAATAAATAAATAAAATGTCTCAAGGGCCCAACAGCATCATGTGAGGAACCTGGCCTGTAAGACCAGAAGACAAGGCTCTTTAAGACGTCATTCATGTAGAAGTCACAGCTATCCAGAGTCTGGTCCTCAGCATAAGAAGTCCAGAGATATATCTTTGTCAAAAATACACAATTGAATAGACTAAAGAGAACCAAGTCATGCTAAGAAGCTGAAGTACAAATCAGAATACCAATTTATTAATTAATCATGGAGAATATTCCTTTTCACTAATCAGAAAATTTGCACCAGAAGCCAGGATGCTGCTTCCCCAATGCTAAGATACCTGAAATCCTGAATTAATAATCAGTTTACCGTAAGTTAGAACAAAGAGAAATGGAATTTGGGGGATACCTAATAAATTATCCATATCCACATATGCCTTTCTAGTGATCAAAATTGTGGCCTTCACATGTAGAGTCTCTCTTCCTAGAATATTGTTGTCCTAACAAGGCAGTCTTCTTGGTCTCAAAGCTTTATTTTTCCACATCTTTCTCTCCACTAAGTATTTCTCTAGATAGGGTATAATACAAATGATGGAGGTGTACCTTAGGTGATTATCTCTACTTTTCAGATTAATAACTCCCAGATAGAGTAGACTAAGCAACTCGTCCATGGTCACAGCTAGTATAAGGCAGAGCATAGATTCACAGCCAGATCTCAAACCAAAGCCTGTGCTTTTAACTTCCAATAAATAATGCCTTCTCTGGGCGTATCTTTCTCTGGGCGTTCCACCTCCCAGTCCGATTTAAATGCCCCTACTCAGTGTTCCCATAACACCCTAAGCACAACACGACTGTAATTTTTGTTATACAGATCTATTTTTCTCACTACACTCAAACTTTGGGAGGACAGGAACCCTGTCTCGTTCACCCCTGTATCCCTGGGGCGTTATCAATTGAGGTACATATGCAAACTAATTTGTCCAGTGGCTTAACCTAAAAATCACCAAACTGCAGGCCTTGAACTAACTTTAGGAAGGTCACATCTTAAGACCATCAAAAAACACCTCATCTTAAAAATTATATGAAACATATATATACGAGGTGGCTCAGGTCCTTTCTATATTTAAACAGCAGTACCATTGTAGATGGGCTCTCATATTTGTATAAAATATCTCATTAGTTTGAATTATTAGAAATAAAATTAAGGTCCTCATTTATCTTCTGTATACAACATATATAAATAATAGAGAGTTCAAAAAAAGCTCCCTCTTTCCTGAAAGGAGACAACTATCATCTATACCAAAATCAAACAGTGGCACCCTCCTCTGGTGAATGTTACAGGAGCTAAAACAACACAAAAGACAACAATTAGATGGTGTCTGTGTGTGGGGGGGGTAGTTCTATGAATAAAAGAAAAGTAAGAGAAAAATTACCTAGTATTATTTGTTATTATCACATTCCCAATAGCAACAAAATGACTACTTTTTACATCACTTTTCTTATTTTGCCCTAAAATGAAGCCAAGCTGAACAAACTGGCTACATACTATAGGAGGTTATAGATAGAACAATTACTCTATTTTTAAGGAGGTTACCATATATGTAAAATTCATCTATTTAGATAAAAACATTTATCATGTCCCTTTTCCAAATGATACATTTACCAGAAGATAGTACTGGAAATTCTTCAACCTGAAATCTGTTTAGATCTGCAACTTTCAGGTTTTAGAATATCAACTTAAGAGAAAATTTAAAATACTCATTCACTTACACGTGCAGGCTCAAAACATGCCAGTACAGCACACCAAGCAAGCACAATCCAAAGTTTCATGACATTAATACTACATCCAGACCTTTAAGAATAAAACTGTGCTAAGACCTGAAGCAGGTTATCAGCTGCCCAATTTTAATTTAAACATATATAATAAATATAAGCTTTTTAAAAAATAATTCACAACAATCTAGGCTAGAAATATAGAATGAAAATACAGACATTCTGATCAAACCAAGAAAGCAATTTAGTCATTATATTGGGAACATTATCATTCACCCAAGCACAGAGCATCTCTTCCCTCAATTAATTTCAGGTTTTTCACCTATCCTGTGACCAAAGGGGAAACAAACCCCACACTACACAAAGAGCTATAAAATCACAACCAGTAAGAAACCTTCATTTTGAAAGACAGAACTTGGGCTAGGGTGGATGGAAAAATAGCAAAAACTGTTCTTAGTTCTACCCCATAAATTTTCCAACTAAGTTTGTCATTCCTGGCAAAGTTGGTTTAAGGCAGATAGACACAGTATCTCAGAATGATTGGCAGAGTGGTGGGTGAAGGACTTTGTATCAAAGACAGAATGCAAATAAGATAACCAATTGAAAGCTTTCCCAGTGTTCACCCAAAACAAAGGCCAAAGAAAAAGCAAATCCTGAAAAAGAATGACCTACTGACATCCTCTGCAGCCCACCAGAGACCAGAAGGACCAAGATGAGAGCTGGAGGGAAAGTCGGATGCCAGCACAGAGCATGAAGGTAGGGAAGGGGGCTAATGAAGAAGAGGGCAGAGGTAATAGGAGTAAGAAAGTATGCTGGGGGGAAAAAAAAAAAAGATGTATGCAACACTGAAACTCTTACAAACTACCAATTGAGAAGGATGGGGTGGCTGGCCTGATGTGCTTGGGAGCCCGGCGCTGGAGCCACATTTGCCACTCACTTCCCCTGGACCAATGCCCAACCACCAGAGCCAACCCTCGCCCCGACCTCCAGGGAATCTGAGCCCTGGCACGCAATCAGGGTGCCGCAGAAATGCAGGAAAGGGACCTGAACCGGCCTCCCGCATCGTCTCTTGCCCCAGACGAACCCCAAATAAAGGAGTTTAGAAGCAAGGAGATGCCTGCGCACCCACGCTGGCCAGGGCGCCCGGGCGAGATCTGGGCACCGCCGCCTATGCGGGCATTGCCACCTCTGCAAAGGCCAGAGGCATCTCGGTCCCGCGCCACGATCCAGCTAAAAGCAGGCGACCTGCGAGGCGCTGCCGTCAACGGGCCCGATTGCACTTGCAAAGTTAATGGAGTTGGGAAGACGCGCAGAGCTGTCCCTCGGTGCCTCCCCTGGGAGGATGCGATGGGAAGGAGTCCCAGCTTCCTTCGTCCTCGCCGAGCCCTCCCTCACTGACCGGGCTCTGCAGATTTGGTCTCTCTTCTTTAAAGAGAGTCAAAGATACTGTCTTTCTTCTTTGTGGCTAGCTTAGCCTCAAACCCTAGAGCAAGGGGCGCTGAGGCCCTGGGCCAAAGTTGTCCGTGGAAACCATAAACTCTCCCCGAAAAAAAAAAAAAAAAAAAAAAAAAAACTAGCACAGTCATTTGCCTGGTTCTGGCCTTGGGAAACCTCATAAATTACGAGGCACAAACCAGATGGTGGACGACCCTCCCCCCCCACCCCCACCCCCACCCCCACCCCCACCCCCAACTGGCCACCGAGAGACACCAAGAGGTCTGGATCCAGCAGTATTTTTCAAACAACTTGAGCCACATTTGGACCCAGTGTCTTTGTCCAGGCGCACACCAGGTCATCGCCACGCCCCCCGCACCCAGCTCCCACCTCGCTGCTCACACCACCTCTCGTCTACACACACCCACACGAACAAAACCCTCGAGAGCTCGCTCCTACCTCGCCCCCGTGTCCGTCAAAGATCCCAAAGATGGACGGGTGCGTCTTGTTGGCCAGGTCCGTGAGAACTTCAAACCGGTCCTCCATGTGGTCTCTCCGGCCCTGGATGGAATACACAGCCACGTTGTGGCTCTTGAACTCCCAGGTCTTGGAAAACTCGGCCTCCAGGACGTCGAGACCCCCGAGCCGATCGTTCTGCATGATCTCGGCCACCTTGCCCTTCACCATCTTCACGGCGTCCCGGCTGGACTTGACGATGGTCTTCACCTCGTCCGTGTGGAAGAAGTAACTCCACAGCGCCAAGCTGATGCACAGCAGGAAGAGCGTCTCGGGTCTCAGCAAGAAGTAGCGCATGATGCGACCCAGCAGAGACAGCAAAGTCATTGTATCCTCTATCATTTATTATCGCTACAGCCCCAACCACCAGCAGCGACGCGCGGGGGCCCCGAAGGCTCGCCGGGCCCCGGAGCACTGCGGGGCCGGCCCGCGGGGAGGGAGGCGGAGCAGCAGCCGAGGGCGGGGGGAGGAGGCTCGCCGAGCCGGGCGGCAGGCGGACGAGCAGGCGGACGAGCAGGCGGCTCCCGGCCCGCACGGCGAACGCAGGCAGTTCCCCTTTTGTCTCCCGGCCTCGGCGGCGGGGAGGCCCGCGCCCTGCGCACCGGCGCCTGTGCCCGGGCCCGCGCCGCCTCCCCTCCCCGCGCCCCTTTGTGAGGCGGCGGCCCAGACGGCAGCGGTGGCCGCGAGCCGGGCGGGAGGAATCAAGTTAAAGTTGCGCCGGGCGAGTCCACCGCGGCGGGCGGGAGGATTCGGGGCGGGGGGGGGGGGCCGGCGGCCGCTCCGCGGGTACCCCCTCGCCGCCCGGGGCAGCGATCAGCAGCAGGTGAGGAGGCGCGGGGCGCGGGAGCCCAGCGGGCAAGGGATGCACGTCCCCTCGGTGGCCGCGGCGGCGGAGCGCAGCGCCGGCCGAGCGCTCCGATGCCTGCAGACACCCCGAGGAGCCCCAGAGAATAAAAGTTTTGCGGGAGCCCGGGCAGAGGCGGGGGCACGCGGCGCCCGGCGACGCAGCACGATCCGCGCGGAGCCGCAGGCGGCCGGCGGGCTCTGCCTGCCTCTCCCAGCACCTCCCGGCTCGGCTCGGCGCCGCTCGGCTCCGCTCGCGCGCTCGCTCCTCTGCCCCGGCCCGCGCTCGCCCCGCCCCGCGCGCGCTCGCCCCGCCCCGCCCCGCCCCGCGCGCGCTCGCCCCGCCCCGCCCCCCCCCCCCCCCCCCGAGCCGGGGCTCCAGGCCCGCGGTGCTCGCGCCGAGCTGTCAAGCGCCGGGGAAGCTTCGCCGCGGCCGGCGCGCTCGCCGCTCCGGGCCGTTCCGACGAAGCGAGGGGGAGGAGAGGGGCGCGCCCGCTGCCTGGCTCGAGGCGGCGACCCTTCCCCCCTCCTGCGCGGGCTCCCGGGACCTAATACTGCTGCTCCCCGGTAGTGCGAACGGCGGTCTCCTCGGGAGCTGGCGTCGCCGCTGGAAAGCAGAGCGCCGCCCGGGAGCGTCCCCCCCCCCGGCCGGCAGCACTGTAGTGCGGTCCCCGCCTCGCCGGGCATAAGGCAAGCGAGAAGGGACGCACTTCTGCCCGCGGCGCGCGAAGCGAGGCGGACGGGACCCGGCAGTTGGGCTCTGCGGCGGAGGCCTGCGGGGCTCTCACGCGGGCGGAGAGCGAGCCTGAGGCCTAGAAGCCTGCTCGCCGAGCAGAGACCCTCCGGGAGCAGCGGGGCGTGAGGACTCCAGCCACCTGGCAGCACGGAAGCGCGCTCCGCGGACCAGCTCGGGAGGGGAGGGGAGGGGAGGGGAGGCGAGGCGAGGGCCGGCCTCCCTGGGGCTGCGTCCGCGCCGGGACCCGCGGCCTTGGGCGGAGAGGCACGGAGCCGCCTGGCGGAGCCCCGGGGCGTTCCCGAGCCTGCGGCGGCCGAGACTTCCGGGACCGCTGGGAAAGCTCCAGCCTCGCGGCCTCCTAGCCCCTGCTCGGCCGCCGCGGGACGGAGGGAAGCGGGGGCGGGAGTCTTTGGCGGTGCAGGTGGGAAGGGCCGCGGGGGAGAGCGCGGAGACAGCTCGTTGAAATGCGGGCAGGTGTCGATGGGGGGAACGAACAGTGTACAGATCACCTTAAGATACAGAAGGAGGGCGGCCCCGGTGGCGCAGCGGTTTAGTGTCGCCTTCAGCCCGGGGCGCGATCCTGGAGACCCGGGGTCGAGTCCCACGTCGGGCGCCCTGCGTGGAGCCTGCTTCTCCCTCTGCCTGTGCCTCTGCCTCTCTCTCTCTCTCTTTCTCTCTCTCTCTGTGCGTCTCTAATGAATAAATAAAAATATTTTTTAGAAAATAAAATACAGAAAGAAGTAAGCTTTAAAGGAAATTATTCACTCTCGCTGCCCCTGTCCAGGAAGAAAAGTGCTGATCCGCCAGCCTGGAGGGCAGACGCCGCCTGACCCAGCCCAGCCCCTGTGCGTCTGACCCCCCCCCCCCCCCCCGCCCCAAGCATTCCCGCCTTGGTATGATACCGACTACGTTTAAAAAAAAAAAAAATTAAAAAAAAAATAAAAATTAAAATAAAAAGGAATAAAATATTGAAAGGAAATACACCAAAAGTGTTCGGCGTGCTTAACCACAATAGTGGATGATACGTGGTTTTCATGTTCTGCTTTTGGACTTTTGTCTGCTCTCTACGACTTTTCCAAAATATTTACAAAAAAAACACAGCTTGCCATCATAACCAGAAAAGAAAGAAAGCTCTGACTTTTAAATGGCATACACAGTACGTTCTCAGTTATAAACGCATGCGTACAAAAGGCAGGAGGACTATATATAGGAAAAACTGCTAACAGTACGTTGTTTTTGACATCTAAGATACTGGCCCCCTCTTTTGTTTTGCGCTTTTCGGTATATTCCACCCGATAAATAGAATTAATAGTTTTGAAATAAATTAGGCCATCCTGTTCAAAAGTCTTAAGTCATGAGATTCCAAAGTGAGATAATGAATTTAAAAAGCCTTTTAGGAACTCTAAAGCAAAAGTAATACATTAGTGTTGTCGTGAAGATACGAGTCTACGATATTTCTTTTTTTTTTTTTTAAACTTTTTTTTTTTTAATTTTTATTTATTTATGATAGTCACAGAGAGAGAGAGAGAGGCAGAGACACAGGCAGAGGGAGAAGCAGGCTCCATGCACCGGGAGCCCGACGTGGGATTCGATCCCGGGTCTCCAGGATCGCGCCCTGGGCCAAAGGCAGGCGCCAAACCGCTGCGCCACCCAGGGATCCCGAGTCTACGATATTTCTTACTGTGAATTAGCAAATATCTTCTGGGTGCATTATCAGTTTCTCTGTACGTAATGGCAAAAGCAGCTTCCACGTAAGCTGATCAAGATTCCAGAACTACAAGTCTTATTAGGCCCTGGAGCAGAAGTAAAATTCCAAATCTAGGGGTCCACCCAGCTGGTCCACTACGTTACTATATTGGTGACAGCAGCAGATACTCACGGGAGGCATGATTTGTGTTTCCTCCATACCTAATAAAGAAGAGGACCATACTGGTTTCTCTGGAAGTAGCAAAAGGAGGGCTTGACTTGATTAATAGATCTAAGATATCCTGTGGATTCTAGGGAGATATGCTTTGACATTTGCATCTAGGTAGTTCATTTTTATGAAAAATCAATAAAATGATTTTTCAAGTAGACCCTATAGGCATTTTCTTATTTCTATTAAGAAATTCATATCGTTTACACAGTAACTTTTAAAGGCCTAATAAAATGTTTTGTTATGGTTTGCTATGAATGTTAATATATTTGAGAAAAAGACCTTCCTCTAATGACAAAGTAACCTTTGCATATTCCTAGAAATTATGAAGGTTTTTATGTATATCAATTTATTTCCATCCTTATAATAATCCTAGGAAGAAGATCAAGGAGCTGCTATCTCTGTTATAAGTATAAGGAAAATGAGGCACGAAGATGTAAATGAATACCACAAATCACAGGAGCCCCGGTGACTTAGCGGTTTAACACCTGCCTTCGTCCCCAGGTGTGATCCTGGAAACCCGGGAGCAAGTCCCATGTCGGGCTCCCTGCATGGAGACTGCTTCTCCCTCTGCTTGATCCCTGCCTCTCTCTCCTTCTGTGTCTCTCATGAATAATAAATAAAATCTTAAAAAAAAAAAAAAACACAATTCAGTATAAGAAGTTGGAAAGTCAAACTCAGTTCTTCTGACCACCAATCCAGTGCTCTTAAGATCCATTGATTTCCCAGTGATACTGAGATGATTAGTCTAATTTTTATGCTTCTCTAGTAATATTTCAGTGGCTCTTTTGTCACAGAAATATGAAAAAGACTACACAGGTTCTTATCCCACAATTCTGACTTTAACCTTTGGCTTTAGCCTTGTCAAAGCTGCACTGTTAAGTACCTCACCCACTGAGAATATGTGCTGGGCAGAGGACAAGTACAAGTAAACTGTCCTTCATCTCTACAAAAAAGCCTAAAAGATTTGTTGCTAGAGTGAAATAGTATCTGAATTTCACGGGGAAGAAAAAAGTACCACAGACTGTCCCTTATGCAAATTCTATACCATTACAGGTGACATAGTAATGAACCAAAAGCTAATTGCAATCCTAGGTTTTCATGAAATACAATAATAATAATAAATATTTACCAGGTAATTACCATTTTCAACTATGCAATGAACTCATGTCAACCTTGCAAGAAGATAAAGACCAAAAAATATAGCTTTTAGAAGTAACACATTCTCAGAAGGAACTTTCAGAATTGTAGCTCTTAGGTTTAAGAAATCTTTAAAACAGTTTGATGACACTTATTTTCTGTATGATGTCAATCTATGATGTCCCCATTTCTCTTTGGTTCCTTTTTTTTTTAAGATTTTATTTATTTATTCATGAAAGACACAGAGGCAGAGACACAGACAAAGGGAGAAGCAGGCTCCATTCAGGTAGCCTGACGTGGTATTCGATCCCGGGTCTCCAGGATCAGGCCCTGGGCTGAAGGCGGCGCTAAACCGCTGAGCCACCAGGGCTGCCCTTCTTTATGGTTTTGCCAATTACAAAGTTGTAAAAATTAAGTAAAATGATTTATCAACTCTAAACAATCAATGTAATGAAAGTATCCCTGAAATGTTTTAAATTCATCTTCTTTTTTTTTTTTTAATTTTTATTTATTTATTTATGATAGTCACACAGAGAGGGAGAGAGAGGCAGAGACACAGGCAGAGGGAGAAGCAGGCTCCATGCACCGGGAGCCCGACGTGGGATTCGATCCCGGGTCTCCAGGATCGCGCCCCGGGCCAAAGGCAGGCGCCAAACCGCTGCGCCACTCAGGGATCCCTTAAATTCATCTTCTATACATATAGAAAATCTCTGAACATTTTTCAATTTCCCAATTATGAGTTTAATTTGTATTCTGTATTGTTCATGTTTGTATTTTGTGTTGTTCCTGCCTAATGCATATAAATATATACGGCGTATTGAGTAGTATTCTTTAATTAATATTCTATCAGTATACATCTATATTTTTAAACTATACATACAAAGGGTGCACGAAGCACAGCAAACATCAGTACTACACCCATGAATCCATGAATCCATCATCCCACCTAAAAACTGACCTGTGACAAATCTTTGTACCAGCCTAGGAGTTTCTTTCCCTATCCCACTTCCTTCCTTGTCCTGCACAGGTAACAGCTATCCTAAATTTTGTGTCTTACTATCCCCTTGTCTTTTTAAAAAATAACATCATCATATATG